GACGTTAACCCGCGCGTCGGTTTTCCCCGTTTATCGCGACGCAGCAGCCGCCGCCGTTCGCTCGCGTCGTCACGTGACACGTCGTCTCCAAAGTGGTCCGGTTTCGAGGCTAAAACAGGAAGAGCCGCCATGACAGTCTACGACTCTGAACATTATATAATATTACAATAGTACATTTTTAAATTAAATTACTTCTTATATATGTTATGAAAAAAAGTGTTTCTTTTAAGCGAATAAAAAATATTTAAAAAGAAAAATTTACATGTACAAGGTCTCGATTTTAAAACTTAATTACACAATTAATGCATTAATTTATTTATATCATCTTGCAAAAGTCATTAATAAAATATGTTACATATTGACAATGCATATGTATATTAGTATTTCATTAATGAATTATTACCAAGTATAAGTATTTCCTGTAGAGATGCAAAATATTACTGTATTATGCAAATTTTTAAAAACGAAAAAAAAATTTTATCATTAAATTTTAAATATATACAAACTGCAGTACTTACGATTTTGTATATGTATACAGTTTATATTAAACTTAACATCAATAAATATTATTTCAAAGTTTATTTGTTAAAAGTATGGTATTTTTTTACATTCAAATCTTATCTAAGCAGCTGATTTCATAACAATAAGAAAAGCTTGATTTGTAATCGCATAAATCATTACAAACTGATTACAAAAAAGTATGCAACTAATGCATCCTGTTGTTATGAATGTAAAGTTGATTATTATGCAATTATAAAATTCATTTAAGTTTAATAAAAACGTTAATACATATTTTTTGTATAAAATTACTTTCTTCGACTATAATATTTTTAGAATTAACATTTAAGTATTTGATATTATCAAAATATTAATTTGTTTAAAATTTATAATCTTTATTGTTTTTGAAGTTTCTGAAAATATTTTATGTTTCTTATTATAACATATATCGGGTAAATTCTGATTTTATAATGGCCTTGCTTTCGAAGAAAATAAATATATAAATAAAAATGTAAAATTTGTTTGATATTTGATATAAATAACTTCATATTAAACAGAAAAATCTGAATAATTTTAAAAAATATTTTTTTACATTTGATTAATGCAATAATTAAAAATAAAATTTCTTATTTATCATTTTCTAAATTGACACCATAATAATATCCCAAACAATTTTTAAAATTTTAATGTTAATTTTAATTAAATTCTAAAACAAACTGTTTCTTTAAGCGATATTCATATACGCAGGAACGAAAACAAAAATTTATTTTTGATAAATTCTGAGGCATAAAATAATTTAACCATAAATATTACATTACTTTTTCAATTATATAAATTATAAAATCTACATTTTCACATATAAATGTTATATGATATTTTTCATATGTATTACATCCTGTGCAAACTTCATAAAGGTAGTAAGAAAAACAATCAAATTAATAACGGTGTATCTTAATAGCTTTAACAATAAAAAAAAAATCCAGAATAATAATAGTACTTTTATTGTCATTTCATCATCAAATTTTAACTACTTTATTATAAAAAAAAAGTAGAATTTGATATTGTATTACGTTCTATAAATAAAATGCCAATTAAATTATTAATTGATCTTTAATAATAATAATTAATTAAATATTCAAAATTAATATCAGACGCAGACGAACGTGCACAATCCTTATATATATATATTGAACAACTGGATAAACAATCTGTATTTGGCAAATTTAAATGTTTACGCGTACACTACATATTGATATTTTTCTTGTATTGTTTAACAAAGCGAAAATCAAAATTTAAGAGAGTTTTCTTGCTGATTCTGTGAACAAATTCGGTAAAGTAAATAAATCATAAAAGTTTGTTTTCTACAAGAATATTTTATAATAGTTTCCAGATTCTATTTGACACCAGAATTTAATTATGTCCATATAAAAATTCGTATAAAACTGATATACAAATAAATTACCTTTCTTTGTTTTGAAATTTATTCTATGTGGTTAATGTTCAGGGTCGTAGACTGTCATGGCGGCTCTTCCTGTTTTAGCCTCGAAACCGGACCGCTTTGGAGACGACGTGTCACGTGACGACGCGAGCGAACGGCGGCGGCAGCGCTGGCGGCTCACCGCTGATTCCAGCAAACGAAAGGAAACAGTGGGGACGCACGTTCTAACCTAACCTAACCTATTCTAATAATATAATTGGTAATAATTATGATAATTTATCAGAATAGGTTAGGTTAGGTTAGAACGTGCGTCCCCACTGTTTCCTTTTCTTTTTGCGGAATCAGAGATGAGCCGCCATGAGTCTACGTATATGGACGTTAACCCGCGCGTCGGTTTTCCCCGTTTATCGCGGCGCAGCAGCCGCCGCCGTTCGCTCGCGTCGTCACGTGACACGTCGTCTCCAAAGCGGTCCGGTTTCGAGGCTAAAACAGGAAGAGCCGCCATGACAGTCTACGACTCTGAACATTAACCTTTTATGTAATGTAATTTAACATATAAAGTGAATTATATATATATACACACATACACATAAAAAAAGTAATTAAATATTTTTATATATAAAAAAAATAATATAATATTACATCAAAAACAGTTTTATAAAGCTTAATATTTATAAAAAATAATTTAATAATTTAAAAAGAAATAAAATAATAACGAATCGCCTTTTTACCTAATACACAAGAAATACAATGCGAACACTTCGAAATGGATTATTAAAACGTAACAGCTGATTTACCTACGTAATTTTTGTAAACAAAATGCTACAAAGCTAACTTCATATAGAATTTTATCGTTATTAAATAACTAAAACGCAAACAATAACTCGGTGACATTAAAAAAGGGGGAGAAAAAAAAAAAAAGCGAAACTTTTTCGCGTCAGCGCGGAACCTTATCTGTGACGTCATAGGAAGTCGATTCAAAACAAATACATAGAAAGAAAACCAATTCTAAACTATCAAATTTTTTTTTTTTTTTTTTTAAATCGGCTAATAAAACAATTACTAACTCAAATAGTCAATATAATTATTACCTTGTTAATATTAATATATATTTATATATAGCAAAATTAACAATAATAATAAATGTAATAAATGTGTAATACAAGTTGATCTGACGGAACGCGATCGCAATATCAACGCCGCCGCACTTGATTAAAAAAAAAAACACAAAAAAAAAACTTTAAATAAAACTTAATAAAACTTACGTTAATAATTATTGATAGATAAACACTCCAGCTCGGATTTTCTTATAGTTTTTATTATTATTATTTTTTTTTTTCAAGCCCGATACGTGACGTCAGTTTACCGCTTTATAAAGACGAATCTGGTAACCATCTCCTTTCGCCAAACAAGATGGCAGAATGAGCGTGCGCCACCGACGGCGCATGCGTGCGAATAGTGTTTCCGTCATCCACCGAAACAAACATTTTTTTTCTTTTTTTTTTTTAAATTTTTCCTAAAATTTTATGAAATTGAAATTTATTTTATTTTATTTTATATTTTTTTGTTACTTTAAATATTAAACTTTCGATATTATTTTTAATATATAATAATTATATCAATCGCTTATTAATAATTATAGTTTAAAATCCTTTTTTTTAATTATTTTTATTCCTATCTTAATAAATAATAATAATAATAATAATTCGTACGATTTATAACCGAATTTATTTTTATATTTCGTATAATCTTTTTAACCAATCGTAACTTATCTTTTTAATATAATTTAAGTTTTATTTTTTGTCCAAGGACAAAAGCCAATGAAGAAAGAATACACAAACACTTCTACAGTCACGTGATTGGCCAGTTTTATAAATTGTTTAATTATTGGTCGACTTCAGCGCTTTCGTAATATTTTATTTTCGCTTTTAAAAATAATTGATTTTCTTCGTTAATTAATATATCATTTCATCCGTTATAAATTAATAAAATAAAATATTAACGTAACGTTCTATATTCACGTAACGTTCTCTTTATCTGACGTAATAATAACGAATTTAAATTTTTAAATTCGTTATTATTACGTCAAATAATTTTAAATATTTAAATTAACACCAGAATTTTTTTTTTTAAAATTATACTGTATTTATTTTATTTAAATATATAATTAAATTTTATTTTAATTTATTAATAATAAGGTAAAATAATGAATAAATATATGTTTTTCCTCCTTACATAAGGTGTTATAATGTATATTTTTAACACATAAATCTGTAATTGTATAGAAATGAATTAGGTATTTGCATCTTAATAAAAGCCTTAAAGTTTCTTAATAATAAACGTTATTAATATAGAAAAATTGTTATTTAACCTCTATAAAAGAGGGGTATTTTTTCCTTATTTTTTTATCTGTACGTTTCCATCTATCGATCGATAATGTTTGGCAAGTTAAAAAAATTTGAATGATTCTCCTCTTTTTTCTTCTCGAGTCAATGCTTAAGCAATCGATAATCAAAAGATAATCGATACTTTTTAATATTAAAAAAACAAATAAAAGTATTTACACCATCTAACACAACTTTAATAACCGTTTAATTCCTTTATTTAAATGCCTGTTAACGTCTCTAAATATGGCTACCGTATATTAAAAAAAAGACAATTTTTTTAATATATTTCCCTTATTTTAATCTCCTTTAACGTTGGTATATTACTACTAGAAAACTAAATATATATATATATATATAAAAGGTACTACTTACTTACTTACCTTTGTATCTTATAAGAGACATTCCTTAAGAATTAATTGAAAATATAATTCATTTTTGACTTTTATTACATGGCTTTTAAATTTAATTAATGATATAATTTGAAATTTTCATGAAATATTTAGATAAATAAGAGTATAAACGATCGATATATATATATATAACTCTCCTNATTAAAAAAAAAACACAAAAAAAAAACTTTAAATAAAACTTAATAAAACTTACGTTAATAATTATTGATAGATAAACACTCCAGCTCGGATTTTCTTATAGTTTTTATTATTATTATTTTTTTTTTTCAAGCCCGATACGTGACGTCAGTTTACCGCTTTATAAAGACGAATCTGGTAACCATCTCCTTTCGCCAAACAAGATGGCAGAATGAGCGTGCGCCACCGACGGCGCATGCGTGCGAATAGTGTTTCCGTCATCCACCGAAACAAACATTTTTTTTCTTTTTTTTTTTTAAATTTTTCCTAAAATTTTATGAAATTGAAATTTATTTTATTTTATTTTATATTTTTTTGTTACTTTAAATATTAAACTTTCGATATTATTTTTAATATATAATAATTATATCAATCGCTTATTAATAATTATAGTTTAAAATCCTTTTTTTTAATTATTTTTATTCCTATCTTAATAAATAATAATAATAATAATAATTCGTACGATTTATAACCGAATTTATTTTTATATTTCGTATAATCTTTTTAACCAATCGTAACTTATCTTTTTAATATAATTTAAGTTTTATTTTTTGTCCAAGGACAAAAGCCAATGAAGAAAGAATACACAAACACTTCTACAGTCACGTGATTGGCCAGTTTTATAAATTGTTTAATTATTGGTCGACTTCAGCGCTTTCGTAATATTTTATTTTCGCTTTTAAAAATAATTGATTTTCTTCGTTAATTAATATATCATTTCATCCGTTATAAATTAATAAAATAAAATATTAACGTAACGTTCTATATTCACGTAACGTTCTCTTTATCTGACGTAATAATAACGAATTTAAATTTTTAAATTCGTTATTATTACGTCAAATAATTTTAAATATTTAAATTAACACCAGAATTTTTTTTAAAAAATTATACTGTATTTATTTTATTTAAATATATAATTAAATTTTATTTTAATTTATTAATAATAAGGTAAAATAATGAATAAATATATGTTTTTCCTCCTTACATAAGGTGTTATAATGTATATTTTTAACACATAAATCTGTAATTGTATAGAAATGAATTAGGTATTTGCATCTTAATAAAAGCCTTAAAGTTTCTTAATAATAAACGTTATTAATATAGAAAAATTGTTATTTAACCTCTATAAAAGAGGGGTATTTTTTCCTTATTTTTTTATCTGTACGTTTCCATCTATCGATCGATAATGTTTGGCAAGTTAAAAAAATTTGAATGATTCTCCTCTTTTTTCTTCTCGAGTCAATGCTTAAGCAATCGATAATCAAAAGATAATCGATACTTTTTAATATTAAAAAAACAAATAAAAGTATTTACACCATCTAACACAACTTTAATAACCGTTTAATTCCTTTATTTAAATGCCTGTTAACGTCTCTAAATATGGCTACCGTATATTAAAAAAAAGACAATTTTTTTAATATATTTCCCTTATTTTAATCTCCTTTAACGTTGGTATATTACTACTAGAAAACTAAATATATATATATATATATAAAAGGTACTACTTACTTACTTACCTTTGTATCTTATAAGAGACATTCCTTAAGAATTAATTGAAAATATAATTCATTTTTGACTTTTATTACATGGCTTTTAAATTTAATTAATGATATAATTTGAAATTTTCATGAAATATTTAGATAAATAAGAGTATAAACGATCGATATATATATATATAACTCTCCTCTCATCACGCAATTAACTTAAATACTGTATATCAATTTTCGGTTGACACCGATGGAAAGAATTACTGTATTCCATCTTTAACAAAGGTATGACCTAGTTTCTATCTTGTAAACTTAAATTAAAGGAAACATAATAATAAGAAGAAGAAACATACTAAATTATTTATTATTATTATTGTAAGCAATTACAAATCGAGTTTTTTTTTTATTGATCTAGGAAAGGAGAAGAAGAATGGTAAAGGGATTGGCTAATATATTTAATAAAAATTTGTGTTTAAAAATTTAATTTATATATATATCTTTTTTGAAATACTTTCCATCAAATAACTGAATTGAATGTAATCAATAATAATGATATCTGCTATCTTTTTACGTTAAAGTATTTGAAAATGTCATGTAAAACATGTCGAAAATAAGTAAAAATGTCAGCAGAAATTTCATGTAAAGAATATCTTAAAAAATATTTCTTTATTTACGTGTATTTATTCCGTACAAATTCCCTTATCTTGCTTTTACAAGTACATTTTTCAAGAAAACGTTCCTCTCGAATTACTTAATCTTCTATACTTTTTTTGTCTAATAATTTGACTAATTATATATTTATTTAATGTAATATTCTTTGTATTATTTTTCTATTTAGTTTTCTTATACCATTCAACACTCTTTTATCACAAACACTATCAAATTTATCCCCTATTATTTAATGTGTATTGTGTGTGTGTGTGCTACTTAAATATTTATTTATCATCATATATATTGGAATTTTATATACATATATATATGTAGTGATTATTGATTATCTTCTTCATAAAAATACATTCTGAATTTACAATCGTTTCTATTATAAATGTATTATATAAACGTATGTGTTTATTTGTATTTTCATTAGTGCTTTTAATCTGACACGTATAATACTTTCAAAACATAGTTTATTTATTATAGTGTTCGAGTATAGTGGAATTTTATCAATTTATAGTATAAAAATTCTATTAAATTTGTATTAATTCGTTATAGAATCACGTACAAAGCTCACGAAGTTAATTTCGTATGGATGAAGTCACTTGCAGGTGTAACTCTTCTATCATGTCTTTAAAAAGGATGTATTAAATTTTACATACAAAGTGAACGTAAAAGTAACAAAAATCTTAGTAAATTTATTATACATTTTTTTTTAAATTAATTATTTTTATAACGTTTAAAACGTTGTCTTAAGATTAAACTTTTCGCAACTTTCATCTATGATTAATTGTAGACGAGTTTATTGTACCACTGTGTTTACTTTATTGATTGGAATGAATTGTTTTTATATACATTTATATCTTATAAAATACGTTTATGTGGTAAAAATTTAATATTAATCATTAAAAACTTAAAGTCATAGGCTACAATATTTAATTGTTTACTGACTCAACAACTCCAAGTTTTTAAAAACAAACAATTATTATTATTATTATTGTTTTTATATGATTACTTCAGTAGTATGTTAATTTATTTAATACTTTTAATGATTTTCTTCTTTCTAATTTAGTTCAATTAGGAAAAATTAGTAATAAAATCAAGAAAAATGACTGAAAATTTATTCAAATTTCATTAAATTTTATGTCCTTATTCAATTCTTATAGATAAATTTTTAAAACAAATCTGCCTAATACAATACTGTACAGTCGAACCCCCCTATAACACTGTTGATAATTCCGCTTTATATGAATTCCGTGTTGCACGAGTCACTTAGATTTCCGTGTTGTACGATCCCCCT